AAATGATACGGTAAAAAAAAACAGGTAAACTGATTTGTGTTTTTGTAGCACTAATTCCCCTGGAATTTTTTTAAAAAGTGACAATTTCATTTTTTTTTTTCTGTCACTATTTGTTTAAAGTTTGAAGTAGCGTTACGGACATGGGGTCAGTTTTTGAGCCATTTTTCCTGGTGCGCTGATTTGTCTGGATGTGGAGCAGAGCAGCTCCTGCGCCGGGGGCTGCTGCTCATCACGGCATCGCGCAGGTTAAGAAACCCTTTTTTTTTCTGCTTTCTTCCCTCTTCTCTCAATCCTGTGCTTGTGACAGGGTGACTATTCATGGGACTGCGGTGTCAATCAGATTAGCGAAATTATCTAGTTTAAAAATAACTTTTGTCCGAAAGAAAGGACGGAAATGATTGGAAAGGGAACCTGCATTGCCATAACCTGGATGATAACGGGAATCCTTGCAAAGGCTTCAAGACTGCCAGCAAAACAGAGGAGGTGGCAGCAAACTACCTGGTACCATCTTCAGGATATCACAGCGTGCACCTACGATTGTGTGTGTCTTGGCGAAATAAAAATTCTCCAAAAATAAATTTGATATTTGGTGTATATGAGGAGTCTGCGACTAAAACTCAACTAGCTATGGATATATTGATTTTTATTCTGTGCGTAGGCACTGCTGCGGAAAGAAACAGCTGCTCCTACCACAACCAAAGGATACACTATGTTATTCCATATGATCCAAAAAACCAAGCCCGTTACCTTATCCACACTCTGCCATTGCTCTCATAGCGCATAGTTCTCTCTCAAAATACGGGACCTCTATCAGAAGCCTTGCTGAAAGCCGCTAAGTTGCAGACTCCCACCCTGACTTTTTGGAAGCTTGTTTCTAATAGTTTTTGTGCTTCACGTAGTAACCAGAAGAGGCACCTGAAAACAAGTATTTTTAAAAAGTAAAAACTTTTTTCTACTTTTTTCCATCAGTTTACCACGGTAACATAAGAACATTTGAGTGCTCTTATGAAATGGTATTTCTTATATACGCTATTTTGATGGATTAGAAAACTAAAACGATGGGTTATACATTTTCCTTCGAAAGCAATTCCTAGCATTTGCAACCAATCACTTCAACAAGTCTTCTTCATTTAATGGCAAAGTTTATTCATTTTTTTTAACAATTAAAAGACAAAACATTTAAAATTTGCAGTTCAAAACATGCACAGTCACCAAATGCGAAATGACATGTAACACTGCATAGAACTGAATGTGTTACTAAGAGAGAACAACTATTTATAAAACACAGTGCATTTAACATCCAGTTAAAACTAAACCTGAGAAACTACCATAAACACTGAGTCAAAAAGTCTTCATTCATGCAGCTTCGTAAGTTCCACAACAGTTTCAGCAGTAATGGTTTAGTGGAGCTGGAAAACCTCACTTTACCTCAAAAGCAAACTTTGCTTGGACATAGCAACTGCTTTCTGCAGCAGTTCATACATATCAAACACTGAAAAACTTAATGAAAAATTAAGTCAAAGTAGAAAAACAATATTAATGCATTTATGGCTTCTATTCTACCATAAAGAAACACCATAAAACATGATTTTAAACAAACTTACTCTGGTCACAGCTTTGCAATTACAAATCACTCTATGAAAGGAAAAGATTTCATCTAAGTTAAAGTACCAGCTCTTCGAAGTGCCCAACTTTGCACATCATTACCCCGACCAGTAGTCCTTATACTTGCAAACAGCCCAATTGAAGCCTATGCGAGTAGGGGTTTGCATAAGCAGGAACAAGGCTTGGAATGCTAAAATATTCCTTTGTTTAATAAGGATCTTTTGGTTAACAGAGAACAAACTGGGGGACTGAGGGCAGGGGCGGGAAGGAGAGTCTCACTGGTTGAGTTTTGCTACCAGCAAACACGTCCAGTACCCAAAGGCTGAACTGACCAACTCATTTGCTTATATACCCCGAGCTTCTGAATATGTTATGAACAGACTTTTAACGAAGGCATTAAAAAAGGGAACAGCACCCATCATGCACTGCCTCAGAACACATAAAAATATCTCATGCAGACAAATTCATTAGAATTACACGTGCTTTTGCACAACACATAAGAAGAAAAATAAAAGCGAAAATTTCTTTCCTTAAATTTGACATATATTCCAAATTGCTAATCATTCGAGATGGGTTTAAATGTAATGAAAGAAGTCTTACGGCATTTAATACACATCTTTGGAACATGGTGGGCTTTCTGAATGTACATGGACATATAGGAATCTTCAGTTATTTATTACTGTTTCAAAATATTTTATTTATCATTTTTATACAAATAGAATGATGATTAAATATAAATCCGTTGAAATCACTTTGCAAAAATAAGTCTAAAATTAGGAAATGGCAAGAAAAAATTCCAAATACAAATTATCAACAGGTTTCTTAAAATTTGTTGTGCATTACTTACTGATTGGAATCATTTATATATATGTGTGTGTGTGTGTGTGTATATATATATATATATATATTTAAAAATAAGCAACTGTATTTATATATGATATCTAATTTGAAAGTGGCACTGCTTCAACTTTTTTGGAGGAATTTTTTAATACTACCTTGTTACTGTAATATAGTGCACACAGAACAGATGGAAAATTCCACGTGAATTCCATATATAATACAAATTTAAATGTTTAAATGTTGTTAAATAAGAACAAATGCACTGTGATGAACCATTTTGACTAAATTGCTTTTTCTTTAAATAAACATCTGCACAATCCTCTTAATTTAACAAAGACATGATACACTAAAGAGATGCTAATAGATTATATTACTGAGTACTTAGCATGAAAATAAAGTGCGTATTATATCTGGGATCTGATTTTAAAATGGGCATAAATAGCTAAGATGTTGTTTTATTTTAAAATTGCATGAGCAGCCAAAAAGCATGTTTAGAACTGCCACATTGTCTTTTTACTATTTGCAAGGTATCTGCCCACCACTAATCACCTGACAGTAAATAACTGAGTGAGCAGAAAATCCACAGAAACAGAAAAAAAAAACCCCAAACCAGAAACATTAAAAATAATCAAAGTGAAAAAATGCACTTTGTGGACTACTACTAAAAATCCCGTAAAAATGCAAGGATGAAACACAGTGATAAGATTACACTATCTTAAAAAAACCAGCAAAATATGGCTTAGCATAACCACCAGCACATATTACAGTCTAAATTCAGGATCTTAAGAAATTTTCAGTTGCTTTTTTCCCTTTAATACAGATGAACAAATTTGGAATACTGAGCCTCCTCTCTCCCCTTCTCCACATATGATACTGGCATGATATAAGTTATCTTGCAATTTCTCATATGACATTACCAATGTGTTTCTTGTCCTTGTATTGTTTTCATTAAAACTAATATTTAAGCCACTCAGAACAGGAAAAAATATTAAAAAATTACTAATTTATGTGTGTATGAATGGATTGAATTGTTTCATATGAGTCGAGTACACTGAATAGAGTGTAAAAGCACAGAAATGTCATGGTTAATTTCTGAAATGTTTTGATGTTGGCCATTGCCCCTTGGATGACAGAAAATAGGACCCCCATTTTAGAAAGGGGCATGCCCCTAAATTTTTCCTTGCCTTAGGTCAAGTGATTTGGCCCTCCCATATTGATCCATCTATTTATTTATGCTTGAAATAGCTTTTCTGAAGGCAGTTCTTGTCTGCATGACTGACTGGCAGCACTGCAGCTAGTGGGATACGTTCCCTTTGTCCCTCTTTTTCTTCTGTTTTCTCTTCTGTGTAAAGATCACTCCGGGAAGCTGGGAGGAAGACACGGCACAACATGCAGATGAAATGCATCCTGCCTTCCACAGGATTTCCCTTCCTAGACATGTACAGTGCTTTTTATCGGAGTTTTCGTGTATGCTTACTAGCTTCTCCCAGAAGGGAATACAAGAGACTTGGATGGTGCAGTAAAGTGGATGTTCAATGCTGAATTAGATGAAAGGCAAGAAAGTCAGCTTTAGTAAGGAGGATCCAGAAGAGATGGGAGTGCATGGCTTGTTACTTATAAACAGAAACTGGAAGGTTTGGAGAGCAAATAAGAAAATCTTTATCTCTCACAGATCATCCGGAAGGTCACTGTTCTCTTTATCTAGTAAATCTCAATTCAAATAAAAAAAACCCTGTCATTTCCATATAATACACTGAAATGTAATTAAAATTAAAAGCATTCGTTACTCTATAAAAAGCATGTTAAATATGATTTTGATGGCTTTTAAAATCAGAATTAAAGGTGGACTAAAGAGACACACTTTTTTTTTTTTTTTTAATCTCAACTGGAAAATAGCATGGAAATATCAACTATAGCTACTTTAAAAAATCACCATCGTTTTCCTCAAGGGAATAAAACTTCTCATTTTACCTCCTTTCCCTTTTTGTTTTTATCAGTCTTGTCTCTCTGTAGTCACTTCCTCTCCGTTCCTAATGAAAGATGAGAGTATGTAGGTTTTCTTCTTGATTTATAGGTTGTAAAGAGGCTTCTGCAGTGCTTTATAGGAAGTGGCTTTAGTGCAAATAGAACAGTACATACTGCTGACTGGCATGCTTCACTCTCTCTAACTATCTTTCAGATAATTGTAGTAAAAATGTTGAAAATTTAATTCGTAGTTAATTTGTGTTTATAAATTAAAGTTTGTGCTGGAGCTGCAGCATGAGCAGATAGAACTTCCAATTCTAAGCATTCAAAAATGACTGAAGACTGAAAAACGAAAGTAAGGCAGAGCAATTTTTAAAAATATGAACAATTCAACAGTATTTGCACTTCATTTTACAAGTGGCAGTCATTTTCCATATATGCATTATTAAATGAAAATAAAGAAAAAGCTTCCCTAAGGCCAAAGGTGCAAAAATTTGTAGTTTTGAAAGCAAATGCCATAAAGGCCACTCAAATTAGGTTCATTGTACTGTAAATCTTCAAGTGTAGAGACTCAAGCATGCAGTTCTGACATCAGGACTGGAGTTAATTTCCTTTCAAATTACTTCTGAAGAGAGAAAACATTTATGGAACTTCTTTGGCAAACATTTTTAGGTTAGTTTGACACAAACATCTATAAATATCTTGATTCAAAATCTTTCTTAAAGGCAAATTAACACCTTTAAGGTATTTTTTTTCAGCACTTGTTGAAATCAAGCTATCAAGGCTTGTTATCAACTGTATTTAAATATTTATCACTTAAAAACCTTAACAGATGCTAATGGTCTGTCAATGTAAAGTATGTTTAGCAATCTGACCATTACATTCCAAGTATATGACCAGTATTGATTCAGCTTCGTTGTAAAATAAGCAAGCTGGCAAGATACAAGGTAAATTTCAATCTGTTTACAAAGGCTAAGCGAATCCTCCTTAAAAATTTTAGAGAGATGGTGTGGTACAGTATAGTTGCACAGTGCTTATGTCTACTGAATACACAAATCCAAACTTCATGGAGTAGGACCATCATGGATCTTAAAATCTTTGATAATGGGGCCTTGGTCACAGTTCCCAGCAAAGATCTAGAAGTCTATATCACCAAAGTAATTAATAAGGCCTAAATCGCAAGCCACGTTCCTTCACCATTCGTCAGGCCTCTGCTTTGTGGTGTCGTAAGCTCTTATTACTTCAGATTGGGAAACGATTCCATTTTCATCTTGAGAGAAAGCGTAGCCATCTGCAGACAGAAAGCAAAACGGAAATCAATTAAGGTTTGATCACAGTTACACTTCTTCACTCGACATTTTAAAGTTTTAATGAAAGTGACTTAGAAAGGTCAATAGAGCTCAATAAGCATCTTTTCAATTGTAGCAGGTAGAAAAAATACAGTTATTTCTTACACAATTTTGCAACTATAAGAAAGCAGGAAGAACTTAGTGCAGTACTTTAGGAATGACCAGAATGCAATGAACGTGGTCTGTTGTGTTTACATTCTGATACAAACATAGTCACACACGGTTCAACCTCACAAACACAAATGAGACATAAGCATTCCATAAATGTTTTCCTTTTCCTTTTTTTTTTTAAAGTATTTAATTAAAACAACATAATGATGCATAAAATTTGAAAAAACCTACTACATCTACATATAATTCAAAATAACTCATTAGCTAATTTCTTTGCTAAAAATAATATTAATGTGAAAAAATAGTTCTATTCAAAATTTCAATAATAACGTGTATAGACACAAATTGTATATTCTAGATACACGTGTTCTAGAAAGCCTTAAATCCCCTGTGACAAATACTAGGATCTTACATCTTTATTGTAAACAAATGCAGTAAAAGGTTATTTCTATATTTTGAATGTATTTTTGTCATATCTCTGAACACTTACGAAGCAAGTTTTGCTGCAGAGAGTCAGAGCGATACAAGTTCACATGGTTCTTCTTAAAAACATTCTTCAGTAGTTGGGCTCTTTCAGTTAAACTGAAAAGAAAGTGGATATTTGTGAAAATGTATCAGTTTCTTAGTTGCCATATTCTTTTATCTTACTCTGTTAAGCAAGAGTTAGTTATTAAATGAAGTGACTATTTTTTTTTCTTGTTTTTTAAATCGTGCCTGAAATAATTATTAAACAGATGATTAAATGCAGGTGAAATGGCAGATTTACGAGGTTGAAGTCTCCAGTATTATTTTGTTTGTACTTGCTGCAGTACAGTCAAAACACCTGTTTGTCAGTGCACCCCATTGCTTCAATATAAATAAATACGTAATACTGAAAATATTTAAGCCTGACTCCTTTTGGAACAAGTAAAAGGAAGGTATTGGCTTTCTTTAAGTATGGACTGATGAGAGCCAGGCAGAATTACAGTCTTTCCTTTTCTTTCCCTTTAAGAAAGAATACTTTTTCTCTGCTGACATAGTTCCTAAAATGGATGGGGAAAGAAGGTAGAGGGCAAGCTGTCTACATAACCATCGGCTGGGCCTACTGAAACTAGTTGCTTCCCAGAACAGTGTCCCAGCAAGGGGCACTCCCCAGGCAACGCAGGAGTCTTTTTTCCCCAGATCATACTCAAAAAAGGAACTACTATCACTACAAAAGTTGGTTCATTTCAGCCCATATCCTTTCCAAAGCAGTGCTGACTCATAGCACTGCTTTGTTATGTATTTCTTATCCTCTAATGTGATCCGTGTGATTCTCCATTTCAGCCCAACTAGAAAAGAGAACATTAAACGGCTTTTAAAGTAACTGTGGCACCAGCCAAATGGTTTCCTTGGACAGTATCCTTCTAACAATTTTCACAAATACTAAATAATTACTAGCTGTAATTGCCTTAGAAACTTTTCAAAATGCAATTGATAGTTTTGATGTATTAAAAATGTGCAATATTTTAAAAATTTATTGATCTAAATTAAATATTCATTATGAATTAGAGCTCGTATTTCAGAAAAACACTAACCTGTCATTTAAACATTTCCAATGGCGGAGAACCACCCCTCCCTAGCTCAACTAGTCTAAAAATTAATTAATTCTTTTTTTTAAAAAAATGTATCTTTTATTCTGAGTATATAGTAATTTGATTTGTTATACTTTAGGTAGATTGTTAAAATTATTTCTTGAGTAAGTATTAGTACTTATGAAAGAGCTCACATACAGAGTAAGTTTTGACCAGTCAAATTACTTTTTAATATTCTTGTTAGCTCTACAGGCTGCCTTCCCAGGCCATCTATCAAACTTTAACTGGTGGAAGGAATGGAACAAAATTGTTTCCTCTACTGGATTAGTATTCAAACCATTAAATTAGATATGCTCCTTCTTTCTTCAGTGAGTACTTGTTTTTCCTACACAAAGCTGAATTACTAACTTGAACTGGGAATAGTAATAATCTGATTCCCCTTTCTGTTCCCTTCCAGTTTATCATCTGGTGGTTAAAGCACATACCAGGAGGTAAGAGTTTGTTAAGTTAGAGAAGGGAAATAAACCTACCATTCTCACATCCATAGAGGAATGCTAACTGCAAAACCTAGAGAGCGGTGGATGAGTCTTCACCACTCATCCTGTGACCTGCTCCTGTGGCCATATTTTGAATGAAAAGATGGAATGAAACTTCCTCTTAAAAAGGAAATTCCAGGAAAGGGTTCAGTAACATAAAACCAAAATTGAGATCTGAGCCAGGCTGCTTATGAGTATAAAATCTTAGTTTAGAGCTAAACACTTTTAAAGCGACAAGATGATTAAAAAGTTATGGGCTTCAATGTTGTGCACATTGGAACTTCTAGGGGTTAAACAATGTAAGCAAACCTTGGGAAAAATATATACATCCAGGTAAAGTGGGAGACCATGTGAATATCGATAAAGATATTAGCTGTATCTATTCCTCAGCACACCTGAGAAACTTTTCTTAACATAAATTGAGTTGAAATCTATGAAATTTTTGGTTTCAACAGATGACATGTTCTAATACGAAACAATTTTGACAAAAAATATCTGGTCTGTTCTATCTTTTATGATACTATGATTACCCTTTGGTTGTGTTCCTGAATAAAATATTCAGACTGTCTAAAGGCTAAGCATGGAAAGCATGGTCT